GCTCATTAATCAAGCTTGCTTACTTGACTGGGAAGCAGTACTTTCGGATGATCAATACGGCTGCAGCTACCGCCGCCATGGAGACCAAGATCACCGATGCAATAATGCCGGGGTGAAGCCTTAACCCAGCCTAAAAAGACAAATGAATCCAATAAGATATAACAGTGGGGTAGTTAAGGAGCCCATAAACCTAACAGCTCAGTTCATGATGTGTGGCACAGATAAAAAGGAAATACACGCCGGAGATATGACAGCTGAACAGCGGCGCGCCATAAATCATACCGGTGTACAACCCAAAAGCTCAGCAAGCAGGGCCGGGGAATTTCCGAGTAAGCACAAAGGCCGACACTTTTTTGACAACCACTGATCACGCGCATCAAATTCCCGACCACTAGACTGTGTTATCTTTAAAGCAGGGGCTGTGCGTGCGATCAGCTGGAAGCGTGGCTCCTGGGCGTCGCAGTTTCCTTCAATAATGAGACTGAAGAGAGAGCCAGACCAAACCGTAACAAGCCCAACAGGAGCACGGTAGCGCGCGTGTGTGTGTGTGTGTGTGTGTGTGTGTGTGGGGGGGTGCCAGACATGAAGAGCAGTCAGCGACGAGCCTCAATTGTACTGGCACACGTTTAATGTATCAGTGCTAACTGACACGGCTTTGACGAGTAAAAGCAAAGATTTACTCAACTTCATATCAGCCCAGTTTTATCGCAACATGAGGAAGAAATGCTAATAGCATCATCTGTTACTTCAAGTGCTTATTGGCACTGATGTCCTTTTATGATGCTTTATCGCCACTATTAAGCTGCTATGGAACTGCTACTTCCGTGATAAGATAATGGCAAAAAAATGCATTTTCATTTCATTCATCAGACTTTGCAGAGACGTGATGGATAAAAATGAGCAGACGGAAAGTGGAGGGCATTATTTAATGAGGTACACTCAACTGTTGGACCTACCACCGTCCAAATAAGGAACAAATAAGAAACAAATAAGGAACTAAGTGCCGGTTAACCAATAGTTGATAAACAGGCTCTAATCCATTTCTCTTAGGAAGCTAATGAGTGGCGAATAAAAAAAAAACAGATGGGGAAACAAATCAGTAAAGATCTGGTAATGGGACAACTTTACTGCTTCCCTACGAATTCCCAGTGGAGCTCTGAACTACCAGGTGAGCAGCGCAGAACTGGTAGTGAGTCATGCCCTTTAGTTAATGTCTCTGTGCGCTCCAAACCCAGGCACATAACACAGAGTTTTTAATAAGAAGGCCCTCATTACATCACTGATTACATGGCCGTTGTGAGTCCTCTGATGCAAAGTGCTGCGCTATAATCAGATGTTATCAAATGCTTTCATCCTCATTACTTATCCACTAAAGTACACCACGCTAGCTGATTTCTGTCATTTATATTCAGCATGTGAAATATTCAAATCTATGATTTATTCACTAAGTTTCTCCATTTTTCTAGTTATGTTAATTGCATAATCACGCGGCTGCGTTGCATATAAATGTTACCTGGACAGCAGATTGATGTAATCGTGATGTGATGATGGATTACCCATTAAAACTTCGCCAGCCAAGGAGAAATGGCGACCGATTAAAGCACCAGTGACTAAATATCCATGCATTGCTTGGGACAACCAAGTAGTTGTTTGTCAGCGGTGATGACAAACTACTGGGGTTGAGGGAAAGGACACGTGGTGGCAAATTGACATCTGCTCGGAAAAGTAATGATTTAGTTATGATGTGCCAAGTTGAGACAATGAGGGAAAGGAGCAACGAAGGACGGCCGGATCATGGGAGCGCCCCAAAACAGTAACTAATGTATAAGTAATTGGTAATGAAAGATTCATGACTAGTTAAGTGCTGTTCACCGTTGGAGTTCATCATGGAGAAAGCTTCATAGAAATTCAAGAAGTAATAATTACCTAAAGATTAAATGACATACCCTGCCCCGGTCTGTTCTCTAGGAAGCACCATTTTTTATTTTATTTTATAATCAAGAAATAGAAAATATTCAACTTATTGGTAGCTGTTTAATGAATGTGGTGAGGGATTACTCATCAGGGACAGCAGATCCTGTAGTTTTTCATACAAGTCCAGCTGTCTGGAACAGAAGCAGATATTTCTGTCTTCCTCTCAAATGGTCACCCACAGATCTGCTCCACTGACTGAAGCAGGAAGTGGTGTTATCCTATTGTACTTCTTAACGCAACGGCCCAGGAAATGAATAGAATTTGGCAAGTGGAATGACTCGAGATCAATCCAATAGCGAGAAACGCGCTAGTAAAATAGGCCGTGGCACGGTGTCATTAGGCGTATTCACAGCAAAGATTGCTTTAACGTTTCTGCCTCTATGGGGCTATTTCTTCACAGTCATAAGTATTCATCATCCTGCGAGATATCCGGCTGTGTTGGTTTTTTTCACGGCTCCCTTTCAGGTCCATGGACGGGCTGAGCCCCGCAGAACGGCCGGATCTGGATCTCAACGTTTGGGCCGGGTCCGTGGAGCAGGAAGTGCGCACGGTGTTCCATATTTACCTGTTTTTCTGACATCCTGGTTAACCCCAGATCTCAGTTAACCTTTTTGTCAACCCGAGGCATGAACACTCCGCTCATCACGGACGGACACCGGACTGACGGACACAGTTAAAAGCTGGACTTTTCTGCCATGCCCCTGGTTTCGGACACGGTTGTTTACTTCCTCGTTCTTGATGGGCGTCTTACCTGTTTCCACGCCCCCGAATGACACGCAAAAAAAAGCCGTTGGCAAACTTGTGGGCCGTTGTTGGACCCAATCCCAAATTGTCTTACTTTTGAGAGGCAACCACAGAAGCCACTTTTTACTGGATGATCCCTTGACACATCTCAGTAAGTCATGCATAATGGTATAAAACATTGATATTGTGTTTAAAATGCATGACTGGTGCTTAATTTATGACAGATCCTTATGTAACATTAAATGTCTTTTTAATACTCAGGCTGCAGCTCAGTTTCCAGGACCAGTTTTGTGAGGCATGAGAACATTGAAATTCTGAACTGGTGATCCCTACATCCAAGGTTCCTCAACGCGGACTATGACTACTAATGGGGGGAACAATGCATTATGAAGACTTCTACCTGGCTATTGTGTTGCATCCAGTCTTCACACACATTTGGATGTGGTTTTAAATCACATTTTCGCGTTATATCGTGGCGTAAAGTACAAAATAAGTGAATGTGAGCACATCGTATCTTTTTCACATCCATTATTTTGTTTCATTTACTTTTGTAATTCAGTCAGGGTGAAAATGATGAATCAATATCCCATTGCATCAGGTGTGATGAGTGTTGTGGCAAGACCGGTGAAAAGACCTGCCAGCCTAATCAGCGGCCCACCCGCTGTTACTCCTAGTTACAGATACACACCATGAAAAAGCCTGGAATGTCTCAGATGCATTCAGATTAATTGAAACCAATCATCTTTTATCCTTGTTGTTTGGAACAACAAAAAGAAGAAAAAAAACAACTACAAAAAAGAAAAAGAAAAGATGGAACCACTGACATTTCTCGCATCAAATTTAATTGAAATTAACACATTTCATGAAAGTATTATGACATTACTTTACTACACAAAGCACCATAAAAATATCCATTCAAAACAGACATGTGAGAAATCTGCTTATTAAAAACAAGCACCAGCTTCTATTTTCAGAAGGCTTCCATGTCTATTTCCAAGCCAAGAATCCTGAAAAGACTCTTTTTGTCATCAAATGTGCAAGTGAATGATCAAGAACTTGGGGAGGAAAAAAAAGAAGAAGCATGAATTGGATTTACAGTCCCAATCCCTCATGCACTAACGGGAACAAATGAACCAACACATGGTGACACAAAGCTTTCATTGGTTTGCAGGACCAAAAAGCAGCAACAGAAAGGGTTTTTCCTGAATGGGGAATTCTAAGCACAGATTGTGCTTAAAGAAACAATCTGAAGCAATTCATCGATAGTTAATGGGATTTATCAATTCTGATACCAATGGGCTTAGAATTAAGCTAGTTCATAGTACTTCCCTGTCTTTGGATCAAAATAGCAGCTCAGGCAGGGATCATACAGTAAATTCAAATAATCATCTTCATTCCCCTCTTCATCCACCAATCCATCTTGTCCTGTATTAGGGATAAAAATCAATCCACAATCTTCATGTTAAAACCTCGCATGTGCAACAGTAAAAAAAACGAATCCAATCAAGTTTGCACAAATGCATTTATGTAAAAAAAATGTTTTAAGGTTTTTATCAATGCCAGCATAGCCATGCCAGATATGAATATGAATCCTCTCTGTCAACTTTTAATAGAATAAATGAGAAGCTTGGATGGGGAAGTGACCTTCAGACTCAGGTGGATTTAAAAGTTTTCTGCCGCTGCCATTTTTTTCCTCATCAATCAAGACCTAAGACACCCAGACCCGGCACCACATTATGAAGCTGTAAAGAGATTCCCTGTAATCCCGGCTACTTTAAAGTGAAGGAATTTAGCTGTTAAACTGACAGGCAGTTAAAAGCTAAAAAGGTTACGGAATTCACTGGGACGACCATTTTATCTTATCAGAACTCGCGCAATAATAATGAAAACTAATTATATGACACATTGTGTAAGAGGTTTAAAACTGATGTAGTAAACTGGAAAGGTTTCATCAATTAACCTTGTCGACGTGTCGAGGGGGTACAAACCTGTAATGAGCCTGTCTCTTCTGACCTATGGCGTTATGTGGAGGACAGAGAGCTCCACTATCACATGCTTTTTTCCCCCTAATTAGATACACATTCACTGGCTGTCCCACCATGCTGTATGCAGCCTTTGGTGGAGAAGGAACATTTCTGTAAGCTCTGATCCCAACGACTGTTTCTATTAGTTGCACGCTTTGCTGGAATTAAGAGTTAAAGCAACGGGTTGTTTGCTGTCTTCTGACTCGCCAAGGACACAAAGGCAGTCTGCGGGGGTAAAAGGACTCAAATGAAGGTTACCGTACCTCTGCCTCGACTTTCCAGATTGTTCTGTGTGTTGCCTGACCTTCTCTGCTGGCTGGGAGGCATAATAGGAGGGCTGAGCACGTCCATCCACTCTCTGGGGGAAAGACCATAAAGCCAGACAGTCATGACAACACATACCATTACACTCACCATCCTACCCTATGACATTTTAACAATGAAGTCCCATCATCATGCACTCTCAGAAGCCTATCTAAGATTCCATTGTCCTTGAGCCACTTCGCCTGCAGCCTCGCAGATTTACCTGAAGGATCACTTATTAAATTTTGACTCCAGCTGTGACTTCCAAGTATCCACATTCTGGCGCAGAGTAGGGGTCTTAACCTTGCTGGTTTCCGTGAGAGTATGACTCCATTTTTCTCCAAATGAGTGTATCCTCTTTTACTGTGATGCATACAGTGTATAACTTTACATCTATCATTTCCCAGTGATTGAAACCACTGTTCTTTAAGCATGGTGTAACTGATTACAGCCAGAGAGAAAATTTCACAAGATGAATTATTGCTTGGAAGCACTGCAAGATTCATTTGTTAAACAGCATTCAAACTCATTTTTGGCAATATATCAGTTGTGCAATCATCCATTAACATCTCTTGCCTTTGGATATGAGCAAACCACAGCATATTTAATGAGGGGGTTACAGTATAATCTTCTGTGCAATATTCAGCTGACAGCAGGAGACTCCAGTGTTTGCCTCTGGTTGGTCTGTCTCACCATCAAGAAGACAGCTCATATCATGCGTTCTAAAAACAGCACATTAAGCAAGCAAGAAAGCTGTTTGTGGTGTCTATACGGCTCTTCTTTACAACTTCCAAGCAGCAGTGTGGAATATTGAAAATGTCTGACCACCATAAATGTGTTCTCACTTTCATCATAAAGTAGCTCTCTGGCTGGATCCTGAACATTTTGAATTCTGTCCGTTTACAATCTCAGCATTTTGCACTCATAACAGGGCTGATGCCACTGTCTCATGGATGCTACCTGACAAAAATATGAAATATAGTAATGACACTGTTTTCCTCTTTTTTAGGTGTTACAGGCCAACGCTTAAGATAAGGCAAATGCAACTTCAGATGAATATCTAAATGTTCCATGTTACACTGTGTCATTATCAAACAAAAAGCTAAATAACCTCATGCTTGTACAAGCGCCTTTAGTAGCTATAATGTGAAACGTTAAGTGTGTGCAATTTTGTTCATGTATAAGCTCCATGATTTGGTGCAAAGAGACAGCGTGAGAAAGCCTGAATAACTATTTCTAGCAGCAGGCTAGAAGATATGTCTGTAGCTGGATGCAGCAAAAGCAAGATGAGGTACTTTTAGACTAGGATTTTTTGTCAAATCACAGCAGCAACTGCGCTATGGCACTATAAAGGTCTCTAAACTGTTGCACGGGAACCAACATGCATATTTTCCGTCTCAACAAGGGTCTGAGGTTCCTCTTTGCTGTTTTTCTGTGAGGTCTGGTGGCGGTCCTTCGTTCCAGTGCATAGCTTTTTAGGTCCCACCGTAGCATTGTAACTGAGATTTAGTTCTGGACTTTCGACATTTGGGTTCTTCTGTTTGTCAGTCATCTGGTTCCAGATTGTCTGGTGCTCTTTGAATCACCACCATTTTGCATGGCTGACCTCCAGCTGAGCTTTAGCAGCCGGGCAGATGGCCTCACATTTGACACTAGAATACTTTCGTATAAGAGTTCGCTTAAAGACTGCAAAATGTTTGGCGTTTTAACAGTTTTTCTGGCCTGCTCTGACCTTGGGGTGAACTGGCTGTGACATCGTGTCCTGGTGGTGATTGGCAGCTATCTTGAATGTTTTTCTACTTGTGAATAATCTTCCACTGAGGAATGATGGACACCAAACTGTTTAGAACTGGCCTTACAACCCTCCCCAGACTTCCGAGCAGCACCATTTGCTACTCAAAGACCATGACTGATAACTTTTTCTCCTTGGCACTGTGTAAACACACATCTGTATGCTACAGACGATCAAAGTGTCCCAACCTTTGGTTGATGTTTTTTGAATCTCAGAACTTTAATGAGTGCAGATGAGCGGATACAAGGAGGCTTCTTAGTGTTTTAATCTAGTTTGGATGAGCTCAAATACATTCAGTTTTTGGCCATGCTACACCTTCACAAAGATTTTTTAAGTATAATTATTGATGGTTTAACACAATATTAACATTAAAATATTTCTGAAACCTTGTTACAAATTTTCAACCACGTCTTCAATCTCTATAAAAAATTGTTACACTTTGAAGGAATAACCAAAACTTAAGGGACTAACTATATTAAAGATGTATAACATAAAACCTGCAAGCAAGATAAATGTCTTAAATAGCTTTCTTTTCTGCTCTTATACCTTGAAAAGGATACAATGCATTGTCACTACTGAGGCTGACTCTGCTTTCTTACAAAAGCTTTTACCTCCCTTAACACCTCTCTGACTGTTTGATAGACAGGAGCATTGTACAAAAGTTAATTGAAGCAATTTTCAAGGACAAGGGCCCTTGCTACTAAGGTGTAAATTGGTCTACAAAATGTTAAGTGGGACTTGGCAGGGTGATTAAATACTTGGATTTTAAGTTATTAAAATCCATATACAGACCTGACAAAGAGAATAGTTTGGTTTTAGCATTACATTGGTGGGAAAACACTATCTTTACTTTACTAACAAAAAGGGGTTTCCAAATATATTCTTAAGAAAAAAATGTCAACTGAGTTTGTCTCACACCTTTGCAGATCTACAGAAGTTGAGGATAGTATTTCCTGTAAAACAATTGTACTTGGACAATACAAACAGTCAACAGACAGTTTTACTTGCAGTTTCACATTTGGAATGCATGTCAAAGTCAGACACGGTTACCAAACATGCCAAAAATCGACATTTTAACATGACATGTAAAGAAAGGTGCATTGCATTTTTAAAATACTGGCCATGCCATGGCAACATTAAGCAAAGCAACAGGAGCATTTTAGTTGTCAAGGAAGCCATAGCTCTCAACAGTGACAAAGCCTTACAGCGGTGCCAGTTTGCTAAAAAAAACAGCAAGATAGTATTCACTGCGAGGGTGTCTGAGGATGCAATCCCTGGAAGAAAACAAAGAAAACGGCAAATCCTGTGCAGCTGCTATTCAATATGTAAATCAAGGCAGCCTAAAAGTCTAATTTCAGTGGTACAGCTGTGGATTCTGTAGAGCTGTGTGTTTGAGGTGGTAGTCTATACTGATATTCACTTCAGTCAACTTTCGGTTGGTATTCATACAGTTGTGCCAGTCAATTATAGTACAGATAAAACACGGTTCCTCTTATTCCCACTGCCTATCTGATTTTTCTCCTATTTTTTATACATTAGACTTAAACAATCAAACAAACACTATTTTAAATGCGTGGGAGCTGACACATGTTCTCACCAGGGTACCTTGCTTTTCATCAATAAATCACAAGTGTAGAGATGAGGGGGCTGCATAATTTGAGTAGCGGAACTGTGATGCAATCCTTTTGTCTTCCTTTGTAACACATCACATGATTGTGTACACCCACAAAGAGATGGACAAGTGCAGAAACGGCTGTGCATTAGCAGGCTGTGGGGCGAGATGATGTCTCTAGAACCCTCCAAGGACAAGTGAATCAATTCATACAGTTCCACAGCAGGGCGTTGAGATGGATAAACACTGTACAATTGTACGGCTGAGACAAGGGTTGGGATTCAGTCAGCTAGATTGCAATGTATACTGTGGCATTTGCAATGCAAATCTTTTATATTGTAATTATTATCCACTATGACTGCTGTTATTATAGTTTCTATTAATAATTGTAATGGAGGTATTTCAGTTATTTCTTTTATCTGTTCCAGGAGCTGATGGAATCTCTGAACCAACTTCTCTCCAAGGACCTCAACCGAATCAGATTTGACTTACATGATGGTTACACAACACATCATTTTATTCGATCTATTCTTGAATAAAACAAAACTTAACTTATATGAATGAAAAACGCAAGCAATTCACTCACTTGTAAATTACAAATATCTTAAATTATTCATGTCCCCCCTTCCTTTTTCTTGTTATAAACTACTATTTAATTTGGTGGGTTTTCAGGGCTACGTGAGGTGCATTCGGTTTAACTCTGTTCTTGCCCAAAGTTAATATTGGCCATTTCTCTTCGAATTATTCTCTCTCTTTCAGCGGAACAGGCACATTCAACAGCGTGTTTTCTGTTTTCTTTTTGAGGTTAGAAGTTAATTTTGGTTTAACCTGCAGGTAGGCAAAACAAGATGGAACACGTGCCACGGCTATTTTTCATTATAAACCACTGCTACTCCTGCTGTGCAGGAGTCATAATCCTGGCTTTTTAAATTTGGAGAAAACGAGAATGCGGTCGATTCCATCAATATTCTAGTGAATAAAAAGCATTATCAAAGGTTTTCAACAGATGAATCTGACAAGTGTAATTATCAGAGAAAAGAGAAATGCCATTGTGAAAATGACAACAGCAGTTCAGGTTGAAGAAAAGCTAAAAAAAACCTGGTACATTGTCATTTTGTTTGTACGTGACTGAGTGAGATAAGCTCCAGTCTCTATATCTATCTGACAGATGACATTTAGCCTAACTGAGCAGTCACCAGCAACCATTTGATTATGAATTTATGGGTGGATGTTTCTGATTAAAAGCTTTTTTCCAGGTTGTGCAAGATATACACAACTGGAGTTTTTCAGTCAACTCAACAATTATTCTGATCTCACCAAGGCCATCAACAATTCTGTATCTAAAGAGGCTAAAACAGCCTCACAGTTCTTTTATCTTTTGCATTCAGGCTCTGCAAGTAAACTTCAAATGAATGTGGAAAACGCAAGATGCAATGCTTGTCGACTTTCAGACATCATTTATATAGATTTCATTCTAAATGTAAGAATTTGGTGTGGTGCATACTTCTTACCTTGGATTTGACTGCAGCAGTAAGGGGTTCATTTCCTTTTGATAGTGATGTCCCTGATTCATTGGCTAGATGAAAAATCATAATGTATGTAGTTATATTCACAGACTTAAAACCACAGAAAAAGAAATGCAGTATGTATCCTTCATTTCCAGTCTGACAATATTTCCTATATTCCAAATGAATGAAGATTACCCTGTTTTTCACCATCAGGATACTAATAAACGAAACTACTCGTCAAATTGGGGAGCTTCTAATCCGCAATCATACAGTTTTTTAACACATAATTGTCTCTTACCATTTTATTTTCTTGTTTACCTCATTAAAGAATGGAGTGGACAGAACAGACTTTAACAAGGAAAATACGACAAAATAAGAATAAAAAAAATCATTCTTAATTACGAGAGCAGCATTCTCCTTAATATGCTGCATTGTAGTCATTTGAATACTGACACTGCTTAGTTAATTAGTTACAGCTTCACCAAACCATGGTGAAGTTTCAGTTTTATAATTAACATGGGCTTCAAGGGCAAATTATTGACAACCAAATTTGCAGAAGGAGTTAGAAATAGACCAATCAAACATGTAAAAATCTTTCTTTTCAGAGGCTAAACTCGAAAAAGATATGTTTATTAGCAGCTGAAGGAAAATGCTACATCGTAATACACTTCTGGTGTGTTAACATCAGCAAAGAATACAGTTTCCTTTGTTGTCAAACTTGTCAAACTTTATGGCAGATGTCCTGAGTGTTGATCACTTTTTTGGCCTTCTTTTCTACTCAGTGTTTGTAGGCAGTAGCACCAGTTCATTTCACCATTTCTGATACTTAAGAAAGAAGTCCAAATGACATCATCAATCCAAACCAAAAAACTAAAAGAACAACTCTTCAAGATAAAGGATCTCATCAAAATATTACATCAAATCTTTATGTTGCAATCTCACGTCTTGAGATGGGTAGGTTTGTCTAAACTGCCACCACAGAATGAAGTTTTTTAGCTGCAAGAACTGGATTGCTTTTGCAGTATGTATTTGATCATTTTACCATCTGTTCTCTGAAGCATTGCTATTCGCTTTGCTGCATCAAGCAAAATCGGAGCGAACAGTATGTCTCCACACACTTCATAATTCATCCAGCTGCTTCTGTCTTCTGTCACATTATCAATAAACACTTGTGACCCGGTGCCGATGGAAGCCATGTATGTCCATGCCATCACACTGCATCAGAGATTTTACAGATGATGTATGCTGCAGGTCAAGAGCTGATCAGCTTTCTGCTGTCATCATTCTGGACCAGGTTGATTTTAGTTTCATCTGTGGAAGAACTGATCTGCTTTATCAGATTTTTTTGTGATTCTGTTGAACCTTTCCTGATCTTGAGGCTTATAAATTATTTTCACCTCGTAGGGAAACCTTGGTATTTGCTCTAAGTTTAATTTGGTAATGGATAATGATCATGTCAGCCTTCTCTAGAGTGCTCTTCATTTGGCTGGATGTTGGGAATGAGCTTTTCTTAACGACTGAAAGAATTCTGCAGTAATCCACCATTTCTGTCTTCCACAGACACTGAAGACTTTTTATGTTGCTGAGCTCACCAGTGGATGCTTTTTTTCAGAATATACCAAATTGTTTCAGCCCCTCCCAGTGTTCCTGTTATCTCTTTGATGGATTATTTTTGTTTCAGCAGCCAAATGCTGGCTTGTTTCACTTAAACAGAAAGCTCCATTGACTGCACATTGTGGCTTCACAAATATCAAAATTGGAATAATGTTTTTGTCTTTACCTGCCTCAGTGATGGAAAAACCAACAACAAATATACTGTCCAGTTACATTTCATCCTCTAAAATAGATGTATTTCCATAGAATGAGAGCCGAGAATCTTCAAATTTCTAAATGTAAATACATTTAAATTACATTAATAAACAGCCAAAGAACCACAGTGTAGATGCTGAAATGTGTTAAACTATTTGTGTAATCATTTCAAAGAATATACCAAGAATAAATTATAACAGAAAGACCTCTTTATCTGAGAGAATCCAACCAATGTTTTACAATAAGTCCTCAAACAGCTGCCCTCCGGCAGACATCTGCACAGCTCAACAATGAGGACAAACCACAGGATGGCAACCTTGAATTGAGCTGGTCCAGTGTGTTTTGACATTTCACTGCTCTTTCAATACAGGTCACATGCCCAAGACAGACAGACAGACAGACAGACAGACAGACAGACAGACAGACAGACAGACAGACAGACAGACAGACAGACAGACAGACAGACAGACAGACAGACAGACAGACAGACAGACAGA